ACTCAGTGCTGTCCAAGCCACTAATCATCAGAAAGGGTATGAATCAATCAATCATGCCAGATTTATTAATTAATGAAAGTGTTATTTTTATTACCAAAGTGATATTATATTGAAAGATCAATTATTTTATTTTTATTGATTAAATTTTTTTTTCACTGAAGGAGATTTCAAGCCTATATTTCTTGAAATATTACAAATAACATGACTTTTTACATGATTTTGTCCAATAAAATAAAATAAAATAGTAAATAATGACTAATTGACAATTACTAATGTTAAATGTCAAAAATGTGTCATTGGTGATGATATCTGATAAAAGGGGAAAAAATAATAATAAATTCATATTCATTGAAATGTCAGGTGGCAGTCAGCTTCAATTTGTAAATGTAAACTCAATAATTTATTTTCCTTAAGAATATTATTAAACAGAAAATATGGCAATGTGACTTTGGACACCAATTCCATTCAATTCATTAACAGCATAGAAGACTTTGATTAACTTTCTTTGAAGTCAATACAGCTTTAACAGGGTAGGTTTCTGTATTATTTTTGCAGAAAAATCAATTAATCAGCCAAATAAACCCTGAACTAGAGATAAATCTGATTTTCCTTTTATTTATCAGATCAACTCACTTATTTCACTTATCAAAAACCATGCTTATTGATCCAGAATTAAAAGGGCACAACAATCATGATTGTTATATTTGTAGTCCTACTCTAAACCTAGAAACATTATCATCAAATCCATCCATCATCTTTAAATACTGTTAGTTCTCAAACCCATAATAAAAAATAAATAATTTATGAGGAGGAAGTAAAAAAGGAATATTACTTGAAAGTATTTCTTTAAATGAAACCTATCAGAAGTTCAAGATGCTCAAAATCTTAATGATGAATCTAACCATTATAGCAAGGATTACTTGCCCTCACCACTCTTCTCATCACTTTCGATGTCTGATTACTAGGTATTGGGCAAAAATATCATCAATTCCATTGCATCTAGCCTCCTCATCATGATATGTTTTCAGTATTTGTCAGATTTGTGATGTATTTCACAAATCCTGTGGACATCACATATTGAAAATTTATGTGACCATTCCATATTAGGGATGACATCCTGTCTTCTTGTTTTACAGTGCAGGACACCTAATCCCGCAACTTACTGCGCCACGACGACGAATTTTGGGAAAAAATTTCCAATCAAAAAT